CCTTGTCCTCTACAGCCACAACGTGACTCGCTCTTAAAAACTTAATGAAACACAAATATTCTCAGAGCAAACAGTTGGGAAGTATGTTGGCACTAACGAGGGGGAAGGACAAGGAAGTGAATTCTGCACAGCTATGATGATCTATAATGGAAACGAGTTGGTTTGAATATCAAAGGCGGCGGAGCACACAGATGTAGCGGAGGGGAACATCCTGTGAGGGAATAATGAGGGGTGTCACCCAACCTTTCAGAGGACGAACGCCAACTGTCCCCCTCAGTTTCACAGACGAAACGTCAACTTCATTGTGTGTATCCTCCTTTGCGCCAGATATGAACCTCTCCTAAAACTTTTTGGGACTTTCTGCCAAGGTCACAGAAAATGATGATAAAGAACGTAGCGGAAATGATGCGAAGAATATGCAGGAATGGGATAAAGGAATGGCCGCAAGCTAGTTTTGAACTCGCAATGCTCACATGTACGCTGCAACTCGTCGTTTTAGAGCATATGTGGCTAACCGATAGTCATCAGAATTAAAAATACAGCTTTGTGGAACCGTTTAACCAGATTTTTAAAAAATCAATTATCAAATGCTCAATTTTAGCGTTAGCGGGGTTTTTTATACCGGACGAAATGATTTCAAGATTAATTATTTCACGGATTAATAAGTGATTACTTCTCTCTAAGACCAGGACTAGAGAGCACTTTAGTCTGTTCCACACGTCCTGACGGGGTTATCGGGGTCTGGCGCACTGATCCACATTCCCGCCGCAGCCCAAGAACTGGAAGAGTACACTATAATTAGAGGCTTTCCACATGCTGCAGTTGTTCAGCATGCTAATAGAGGACAAAGCTGACTTCTCAAAGAGTACTACAGGTAAAAAGTGAGAGGTTTGGGGAAAATATTACCTCTTTTGACACATACACTGCAAAACTGACTTCTTCTTAATAAGTTAACTAGTCTTTTTTGAAAATACACCACCGTTCAAAAGTTTGGGATCAGTACGTTTTTTTTAAAGAACTCTCCAATGCTCACCAAGGCTAAATTATTTGATCGAAAATATAGTATAAACAATAATATTGTCATACTGTTTTCTATTTTAATATGTTTTATAACATCTTTTGTAACATTATAAATGTCTTTATTGTCACTTTTGATCAATTTAATGCACCCTGGCTGAATAAAAGAATGAAATTCGTACAAAAATCGTACTAAATGGTAGTGTACATTTAGGCCGTGTGTCCACCAGAGCTTTTTTCTTTTCCTAAGACCTGCATTTTTTCAATTGTTTTCAATGGGATCACCGCGTATTTAAACACGGCAGCAGCGTGACGAGGAGCTGAGTGTCTATTTCATGGGCGCTTGCTGTTTTTATCTGGTCGCCGAGAGCTGAAAATGTTCAACTTTGGGTAAAGCGTAGCGCCCATCGCCGTCCAATCACAGTGGAGGAGGGGTGGGACAAATACCACACCGACCAACCATCACATCCCACTTGTACTAAGACAACAGATGACAACAACAACCGAACAAAATGATTGAAAAGTAAGTAATTACTCAGATGTATTACTTATTTTAAACAAGTAAAAGAATAGGCATATACCAATGCAATAAGAAAAAATAAACTTATATTCAAGATAAAATCTATGGAAAAAACATCTGACACAGTGTTGCTTCTTAAGTAAATGTATCTGTTTTTAAGCAAAAAAAAAAAAAAAAGTTACAAAAAATGATTAGGGATATGATTTTTGCAGTACATAGAGCTATAACTAATCTAACCTGTTTCATACTGTAAGTAGTCATAACAGTAAAGTGACACATCAGCGCCCATCAATCTTTTAACAATCTCTCATTGTCATTTATGCGGGTCCTAAAACTCCCTTTTCTTTGATCGTCATTTTTACAGCTGTTTTTAGAGTGCGAGAAAACCTGCAACAGACACGTCTGTCATCCTTAAAAACGCAGCCTGATACTACGCATTACGCAATGCGTGGCCCGGAGCCATCGGGGTGAACAGTGAGCTCTTATGGATAAAGCCAGCCCCATCTTACATTCCTCTCTTTCATTCTTTGTTCCTCTGCGAGACATTATACTCTAACAAAGCGTGACATATGAAGCATTATAAGCCTCCAAGTTTCATATTGAAAGGAAAACATGGAAACAAAAGGGGCAGAATCCAACTTCAGGGCACATAGAGCAGAGCGGATACCCGGATTGACACATTTTACCTCAGCGTGTTGCACAGAGCCTCCGCTGTACGTGAAGTTAATAATAAACCCACAACAGATCTGCGCTAAGCGTCGTTTCCTGGCCAAACATGGCTTGTTGAAAGTTGGATTAGATTTACTCTCCGCCGGGAGTTGGGCGATCGTAAAAGCGGGATTATTAAAATAACTTTAGAAAAAGGAAAGATTGTGTGCACAAACTGGATTCTTGTAAGAGCGGGATAGGCAGAACAAATACGTTAACTTCCTTTTCGGCGGTTTTCTTGGCTATAGCTCCACTGACATTCCTGGTGTCAGTCTGAATAAGTAGGCGAGTGTTGATATCTGAGAAGTGATAGATTTCTTTTTGCCTCTGACACTGACTGTCTAGTTTTGGATGGAAAAAGAGAGTTTAGGTAGGAATTCTACTACCTTCCTGTCATAGGTTTCCATCATGGTTGCCTGAACGAGGTAATTACATGCATGGCGGCGGGACAAGGGGGAGGAGGGCGCGGACAGGCACTGAGGGTTTTTGAGCTTTGCCACTGTGTCATTATGGTCCTGTTTGAACCTTATTCAGAATAAGCAACCCGAAGGCTGCGGCCAAAACAGGCCGAGCTTTTCCTCATGTCGGGCCAAGTCGTCCGCCCGCCCGCCAAGCTTCTTGTTTTCGTTCTTACAATATAAAAAAAAGGCCTCCAGAACAAATAGCGTACAGTATATCACCCTCTGTTTGATATACCGCATGATATTTTCTCACTTTTTAGTCTCCAAGCTCACATAATTTTCCCACCAACACAAATGTTTGACCGACATTGGCCTACAGAAGCTAATAAAAGCAATGTAATTTGCACTGGTATCCTTATGAAAATGTACTATTTATCAATTATTATTTTATACAATTACATTACTTTTTTCATAATTTAAATTCATGATTTTATCAGGTTAACTGTGGTCTTTACAGTTAAATCAACCATTAGTAGAGTGCGGAAAAAAAATCCTTAATCAATGTTTTACCTAGTTTTAGGGCTGGAACTACCTTATTTTATTTACTGGAACACAAGATAAATTTACTTGAGAAGAAAAAATGCCAAGATATTTTTTTTGGTTCAAGAATATAACTTGAATTCAGTTTATTTCTCTTACCCCATAGTCCAAATATTTAAGCATAATGGTTTACAAAATTAAGTAGATGTCTGAAAAAATAAAGAAAAACAATTCAGAGAAAACAAAAATTCTCTGAACACCACTGTGGCTAGTGGTTTTCTAAAGTTACTAGCCACAATTTTGACATCGATACCATAGGGGAAAACTGCTATAGATATATTATGCTGCTGTCACTTTAAGACCGGAAGCACGGATCCATTAACTGTTACACATGCGTTTTCTTTCTCAATTTTCTATGTTCATTTAAAACATAACTGACTATGTTTACATGATTACTCGCCAAGACCGGCATTTTTGACATTGTTTTGTGTGTATGTGACTGTTTAAGCACAATAAGCAGCGAAAAATAACTCAATTTAGTACTGTGAGGTGTACTTTAGTACTGCTTTATGTTCGCACACTTGAGTAGTGAGCACAAAATCTGTGGGAATGATTAAAATTATGTACAATCCAAAACCGAAATACAAGCCATGTAACACCACCAATATTCATTCGGAGCAAATGAATGGAGTGAGTGAGAGGAGGCGGGTTTGTGTATAAATTATTCTGCTGAAAATTAGTATTGGAAGCGTTTCAGATATTTCAGTATCGAAAAGTATGGTAAAAACGTTATTTTTGACAACACTACCTTGCACTTAGTGTATTATTTAAGATGCCATTTTTTAAAAGACTACGACTGAAAAAAGTATATAGCCTATTACATATAATATATATATAGTACATTTCCATAAGGGTAAGATCTTAAGAGTAAGACATGCCATTGGTACACACTACACGACCAACTCACCCCCCTCCAGGTCCACCGCTGACTCGATTAGATTACAACAAGAGGCTTGGTGACAGCTCCTAGGCATACTTGAAAAGCGGTTGATATCTGAGATCAGTCCTTTCAAGCTTAAAGAGAGACGGTATGTAATGCATATCACGTCCAAGTCCAAGGAGAATCGCTGAAAACCACAAGTTTTAAGTAAAAAGCCCATTTAAACGATCTGCTTTGCGCCTCAGCCTCTACACGGAAAAAAATTTGTGAATCCTTTTTTTAAAAAGGATGAAAAAAATTGACCCGGTTGATGCACAACTCATTGAAATTGAAAAACTACAAACGCCAAATAGACAAGAGAGATACAACACACCTCAATAAAGCGTAACAGATAAAGGTAACTGCTATCTTGTGATCTCTACTGTAAATATCATAAACTATTGTGAGTTCATTTATGGCTCACGACCACCTACTGCGACCTATTCTGTTCTCTTCATGCCGTCTGGCCCGTTTCCTCTATCAGGATCACCATGCAGGTCCAGTGGCACAGTCACATCCTGCCCATCTCCAGCGAGATTATCCGACCCACTGAGTCCATTGAGACCCAGAGACCCAGAAGGAAACTGGAAACGCTTTCTATTCAGCTGGAGGGGCTACAGACTCTCTTAGACTCAGTTCAAGGCCAGGAAAGTCACAAACACAAAGCCAAATTAAGACTGGCCTGCTTTCAAACCACTCCTGGAAGACGATACGACTTCTATGAAAAGAGAACTGCTAAGAACTCATCTGAAATCTTAATTTCATACAATATAAATATGTAGACATCCATAAACCGCAAGAACCCAGTGCGATAAGAAACCAGCCAAGCACTTACTAGCTACTTCCAGTGAGGCGTTGTGGCTAACCGCTTCTCCCAGGTAGTTACGGGCCACGCAAACGTAGGAGCCTTCGTCAGGTTTGCTGCGACGCCCGTGTACGATACGCAGAAAGAAGAGGGAACCACTCGGCAGGAGCATACGGTGGGATCGAGGGTTGTCCCGGTCCGTTTCCACGCGCTCTCCATCCTTGTACCACTCCACGGTCGGGTTGGGCTTCCCTTCAGCCTTGCAGTTTAGGGTGGCGGGTTCACCTTTGGATACGATCAGATCGGAGGGGTGTTCCACAATGCGGGGTGCGGAGTCTTCCTGACGCAGACGGGATCCTGACAACAAAGAAAGACAATTTTAATAATAAGATCTTAATAAAATATATTAAGAGACACATTTTAATATGTTAACATTTAGTAACATATTAAAATATTATATTGAATAATGTTTTAAACAAAAATTATATATTATCTTTAAAAATGATATTAGGAAAAAAAATACATATAACAATATAATACATATATATATATATATATATATATATAATGTTTTCGTATATTATATTGTATTACATTAAACATGTATTAATACAATTAATTATTAATAAATTAAAACTCTCGAATGTTAGTTTAGAGATGATATGCAATTTAGATTTAAATTTCATTTAAAAACGTTTTACATTCCAATATATTATATAATATTTAATTTAATTGTATAATCTAATATATTTAATATGAAATATATTATCATATATAGTCAATCAATCAGAATGAAAAAAAAAAATCAACACTGTTATATAAATTTAAATATTTCAATTTATGAAATTTATTTCAATTTAGGATGGTTTACAGTGGACAGTCAGCTTCCTCGAGTTTCAAATGCTAGCTCAATGATGCTGTTCTCATGTACGAGCACAATCAATATTAGAGTAATATTGACAACGATCAATTTTCCAATGGGCTTCAGGTCAGATGAGATTCTGTTTTGTATCCTAATGCAAATTCAATACAAATAAAGTGCACCGCTGACTAGATCCAGATGGATGTATCCCGATATTTTCATGCCTAAACGTGATGACTTTTGGCTACAGGAGACATTGGCTGAACTCAGCACATGATGTCATGGAGATGCATTACAGCACACAATACTGGTTTGTCTTTCCTCGTTTATTTAAAGGAATAGTTCACCCCAAATGGAATTTATCATATGCTCGCCCTTACCAATATGACTTACTTTCTTCTGTGGAGAAAAAAGTTTTTCCAAACAATGGAAGCGAATGATGACCAATGCTTTTTGAACTCTAAAAATAACAAAAAGCATTGTATGGAAAATTTCTTTCAAAGAAGAAAGAAAAACACAACGGTTTGGAGCAACGTGAGGTGGTGAATAAATGACTAAATCAACCATTCCTTGAAATTTTCTGAATGTAATTCCTGAAGAAGGTGTCGGTAACATATTGGTGTGGTTTTGACAAACACAAAAGCTCTGGGAGGGAACAAACCCCTTCATTAAAGAAATCTCTCTGTTCTTTGGACTGCGGCAGACCTGTGCTTAAAACCAAGCCACTGTCGTTTCGGTGGTGCGCCACTTCCCTGATCAAAGACGTGAAATGAGAGGGCTGTAAAGTTAGGGATGAGGGGGTGTTTGGAGGAAAAGGGAGATAAGAGGCATTATAGAGAGACACACACATCAGACAGCTTCGTGGATGTCTGGGTTTATGTGTGTGTGTGTGCGTTTGAAGGGTGGAAGTGTAAAGGAAGCACAGTCACTGCGTAGGGAAATACAAAAGTAGCTAAAATTGGAGACAGCCAATCTGCCTTTTTGGGCTTAAGTCGTTTGCTTGTGTTCAGAGACCAGTGAACTGCACCCGTAAGACCTGGTTTATATGCAAATGAGGCTTGCATCTTTAATGCCTAACGGGTACAATATAGTGTGTGTGTGCATCTCAACACTGCCCTTCGGAGTCCATTCAGCCCCAATTAAAAAGAGGTAGGATTAATTGGCAGTGCAGGGTCAAAATACATTCATCCACCCCGCTCAAACCCCCCACCCCCTGTTTTTCTCTCTCTTCATCCCATCCCCCGTTCCTTACATCCAACTATCCCTCCCTCCAGTCCTTCTGTGAAGGGAGAGCTCTGAAAGACAGCGTCTACGACCATTAAATCATCTCTAACATCAGCGAGAGTTTGCCCGAGGTAATGCATTCATTGATTTGCATGTTTCGGAGCAGAATTGTTGGCTCTCATGTTTACAGTATGTGTAAATATGTAATGGGAAGATAATGAGCTGTGCTTTCTGATGCATACAAACACACTGCAGGCTCGCAGGATGATACACTACCAGTACTCTTTTCTGCAAAAGACACAGAGCGAAGGCAAAACAGTTTTTGTTTGCATAGCTATGCAGCAATATTGTTTGTGCATAGAAATGACCTGATATTGTTTGTACAATATGATTATCAGCAGTGTTGGAGGTAAAGCATTTCAAGTAATTACTTTAAAGTAAAGACTCGAGTTACTTAGATTACTTTTTTTCCAAGTACCAAGTAACAATTTTTCTCTTGCATTGTCAATACAAGATCTTGACCAAAAACTGACACAACACTTGATGGAAATAAATGTTGTGATGTTATTTCCATCCATTTTTGGTCAAGATCTTGTTTTGACAATGCAGGAGTCCAGCATTGATTCTTCATGCTCCCTCCCAACCATTCTTTCACAATTTGAGCCTGATGAATCTTGACATTGTCATCCTGGAATATGGCCATGATGAGTCTTCCTACATGGTTGTTTATGAATGGAAAGCTTAGCATTCCATCAATTACGGTTAGATGATCTGTTGCCAAACATATAACATACTAGAAACAATAATCACTGAAATAATGATTAAATCATAGAGTCTTACGCATTTGCCTGTTTTAACAAGCATTTTGTCACATTTTATTAAATATTGCATCCAATAAGCTTTTTTTAAGCAATATATTGGGCATTTATTATATTAGCAATGAATTAACCACCCAATGTTCTTTAGATATCAGCACCAATAATAGCTATTAAAAAACCCATATTATTTGTCTATGATAAAAGGAATGAATAATGAATGAATGGTGACAGAGGAGGAGATTTCTAATAGAGCAGAGTCAGAAATAATAATGAGCAAGGCAAACGTCTCCCGGATGGAGCGTCGACTGCATATTAAGTAAACCTGCTCAGATCTAGCTCTTCAATCCTGTTAAAGCAGTCTGACTTCATCTACACTGGATGCATTTGCTTAGAATTAGAGAAGTATCCAGACCGAGAGACAGTAAAAATCTTTCCCCTTCTCCACCACCGCCTCTTTCAGAAGTGCTCACGGCTCCACTCACAAAGTCAGAGAGACCCCACTGCATGCAATATTCCCACTGCACTTTGAAATGCAGAAGCCCTGCTCTCGCTCTCGGCAGACCAGCCGTACTTCTGATATATATTTTTTTATGTACGGTGGAACACTGCATATGTCCAATAATGAGAGGTACTGCTGAGGGCGGTGCCACGTTACACGGTGAGGTGTTTAAAATTGACATGGTGTGAACAAGACAAAATCCAAAGAAAGAAAGAGAGGAACAAAAGGAAGTGCATCTACTCTGGATCTCAGTCTCTCTTCATTGATAAAATATGTGTTTCCAGTATTTCTTTCTCAGCACTCCGCTGACTCTTTTCATGTTTATTTCCACATCTGACTGATCTCTTCCTTTTGCTTGTCCACTGCTTTTGGTCTCCTGTAGCCTTTCTTTTTCCCCTCTCATTTTTTTCCATCCTCTTTCCTCCTGTGCTCTTTCCTGTTTTCTGAGAATATGAGATGAGCTAATCAGCTCCATGGGCTCAGCGGAGGGACGCTGGGAATTCTGCATCTAAGATCTGATCGATCGCTGCCTGGGGCAAGAATCATTTTCCTCCTCTCAGACTGACACACACACACACACACACACACACACACACACACACACACACACACACACACACACACACACACACACACACACACACACACACACACACACACACACACACACACACACACACACACACACACACACACACACACACACACACACACACACACACACCATACATACACATGAAGTACGCTCAATATGTGAGCCCGTATCTGTCTCGCTATCTTTCTATCACTCCACTTTTCCTCGTCGGGCTGAGGGAAGCCACTAGAGGTTTGCTTTGGAGGTAATTAAGGAGAGAGGAAAACTCGGACCAGGGATTCAACAGTAGCCTGAAAAGACCTTACTCTGGTTGATCCGATTTCAAACATATGAATGCTGTCAGGCAATCCTACCACGGCAAATATACATTTATATGAAGTGTTTTCTAAACCAGGGTAAAATATCGTCAAAGATCATATAAACTATATATATATCAAAAGTAGCAGTCAGTATCTGGTGTGGCCAGCAGCTGCTTTAAGTACTACAGTACATCTCATCCTCATGGGACGCATCAGATTTGCCAGTTCTTGATGTGAGATGTTACTCCACTCTTCCACCAAGACATTTGCAATGTTCTCTAGAGCAAGTATGGATTTGCTACTGCTAATAGATTCACAGAAACACTGCTGTGAACACGTAAGGTATTGTGCTGGGGGAGGTGGAGGTGTTCAGAGAAACTCTGACAGCGTTCTGCAGGACTAGCTTACAGAAAACACTGAACAAGACATAATGTATATATATAGGCTATATATATATACATTATGTATATATAGGGGTGACCCCGAATAGTCGAAGATTCGATGCTTCGATAGGAGGAGCCTGATTCGACTACCAATCTCACGGTCGAATCTTCGCAGATGTGTTATTAAATGAGGATTATGTCATTTTTGCTATATGAGTGTGCTCAATGTCTGATTTCACATAGAACTACTGGTTTTCTGTCAATACGTTAATACAGCCTATTATGATAATGCTGTCAATAAAAATGTGCAAAGAAAGAAGCTTTTAATAAATATTTTTTAACTGCGTGCAGCGTGAATAAATCCAAACACCCCGTGACAGATTTAAGTTTCACTTTCGATCCGTGACCGACAGAGGAGCGTCTTGTCGGCAGGGATTTAAATCTTTAAAAAAATTCTGGGATAAGAAAATCTAAAGATGCACACCATCAGAAAGGATAATCTCCAAGGCTGGATTTAGCATCAGGAAAACCATGATCGCACTTCTGCCGGCCAACGTTAACAGGTTGGTTTTCCTCAGGACGTTCTAAAACGCTTAACGTGAAAAAAAGCTTTTAAAACGCTTAAATGACACTTTTACGTGCTTAATGTATGTACACAGTAGGCTACACACCTTAAG